AATAATTAAATGGTGTATTAAAACTGAATTTAGATTTTGCCTTATCCAAGAAGTCTTCTTTGACTTTATATATTTGGGTAAGAACCCCTTTTTTAGAATTCCTGCAATTCATGTGGGAGAGCTAGGTCAATTCCTGATCAAAGTACCTCATGCACACACACCAACGCATTTGACTGCCAGCCAGAAGGCTGGTGGTTCAAACCCATCACCCACTCCTTGGAAGGAAGGTTGGGCAATCTACTTCTGTAGAGATAACCACCTCGGAAACCCAAGGAGGGGTTGCTATGAGTCAAATTGATTTGACAGCAGTGAGTTTGATTTTGTTTATGTTTATGATGTTGTATAGGTTTCAGCAGAGCTTCTAGAGTAAAACACAGGGAAGAAAGTCCCTATATCATTTTTCTGAGGGTTGTAATGGTCTGTTTTCTTGCCAGTCTTCTCCTCTAGACTGGGAGCTTTCTGAGATAGAAACTGTGATTTTCAGATCATTCGCTGGATACTAAAACATAGTTTGTTAAATCAGCTAACAAAGAGCTTGCTATAAAAAAATATGCAAAATAATCTGGAAGTTCAGCATAGGTGGCCATTTCTGTTGTATAGGGGGTCAGAAAAGTTTCTATGCCAAGTTGAAGTAGGAAGGATAAGGTAAGATTTTGACAGGTGAAGACTGGGGAGCAAGAGAAGAGGAGAGAAAGGGGTGGTATTAGGTTAGAGGGAAAACCTGCGTAAATGGAAAACATGTGTGTTTGGGAAGTTTTATTGGACCCTAAGGCAAGTGATCAAGAAAGAGGTTGTTATAAGCTGGAAATGTGATTTGGCGTGAGATGGAGGAAGGCCCTAGAATATCAAGCTACAGTTAAGAACGAATGTTTTTTCTTAAAAATACATTATATAATATTTGTAAAATCAAAAGAAAACACGAAGCACATGTAAGTAGTAAAGCGTGATAAAACAAATTCCCCTGACCCCATCACTCAACTTAAGAACTAGAACATAACCAATACCTTGCCCTCTCTCCTTGTGCACCTCCCCCTTCCTATCTCGTAGCCTTCCCCAAAAGTTAACCACTCTCCTAAATTTTATATTTTTCATCTCCTTTTTTTAAAAAAAAAATAATTAATCAAACACAGATGATAAAAAATATTGTTTCATTTGAGATTTGAGTATTATAAAACTAGCATTGTGCTGTATATAGAATTCTGAAATTTCCTTTTTTCTCACATAAAATATTTTTTTCCATTATAATTTATTCATTTTCACTGTTGTGTAATATCCCATTGCATGCATATACAATTCATTTATCCATTCTCTTTTTGGTTGACATTAGGGTAGTTTCTAATTTTTTGCATTTATGCCAAACACTGCTACAGACATCCATGTCTCCTGTGAACATGTGCAAGAATTTTCTAGGAGATCTATTTTGAAGGGGAAAGAAATGCTAAGTTGTAGAGAATGTAAAGTCATAAGAAAATGTAAAGTAATTGAGGGAAATCAGTTGAAACCTCACATTAGGAGACTATATTTGTCAGTTCTTCCAGGGTTTCTATCAATTTTTGCTTTATTTATTTTGAGGCTCTTTTATTGTTGTTGTTGTTATGTGCCGTCGAGTCGGACCCGACTCATAGCGACTCCTCCTTGGGTTGCCGAGGCAGTATCACTACGGAAGTAGATTGCCCCATCTTCCTTCCGAGGAGTGGCTGGTGGGTTTGAACCTCCAGCCTTCTGGTTAGCAGTCAAGTGCCTTAGGCACTATGCTACCAGAGCTCTCTGTGCCTCTGTGCCTAGTACTATTAATAACAAAAGTAATTAATACTTACATAGCTCTGTGTTCCAGGCACTGTTTCATGTATTTAATATATATTAACTTATTCAATCTTCACAACAGTTATATGAGGTAGATACTATTATACCAATTTATACAAGTGAGATGAGGCACAGAGGTTAAGTAACCTGCCTAAGCTCACACAGGTGGTAAATGATGAAACCAGGATTCAAACCAAAGCAATTGGGCTCATGAGTATTCTCTTACACTAGGCTGTATCTCCTGCTGATCCTCTTTGTTTTGAAGTGTAATTTGCCTGATACTCATATACCTACCAGACCTTTATTTACTTAGTATTTTCCTAGTACACACTTTTGGTCCTTAATTTTCTATTTTCTATATTCTTATTCAATGTCTCATATAAATAGCATTTGACTTTTAAAAAAATCTGACAACCCGTCTTAACTCCTACCTTGCTCTTGACTTGACAGTCAGTCTTCTGAAATGTGGTAACACTGTTCTGGTATTTTTCTCTGAGCAAATTTGCCTTTTGTGCTCATAAGCTGCTCATTGCTTTGTTCTGTTGTTTTATGGGGGCTATTAGGACACTGTATGCCTCACTTACTCTAAATATAGCAATTTGTTTAAAAATGCCTGTTTTATCCAAGATCTGGTTGTTTTTGTAGGGCCCTTCCAGACTATTCTATCCTATTGCCAAATCAGAAAGTCCAAAAGAACTCTGAGCAAGTGGGCAGTATAACCAGAGCCACACTTCAGGAAGAGTAATCAGGCCCTACTGCAGAATGCTTTGGAGGGGACGCCAGAAGTAGGACATATATTAGAACATTGTTATCATTGCTCAGGTGAAAGAGGATGAAAATGTGTTCTAGGGTAGTGAAAGCAATGGAAAAGATAAGTTATTTCAGAGGGGACCGTAAGTGGATTTTATTACAAAATTGTAGAATCTGGTAGAAACCATGCCCTCCTCTTCATCTCCATAAACAGCTAATTGCTAATACAGCAATTAAGTCATGGTAGGTGCACAAGGACTATTTTATGAATAAATGGTGACCACCAAATGACTCAGCCCTTTCAAAGTCTGACCAATTTCTTTTTCATGTATTTAGCAACTTCTGTAGTTTGGCCTCAGAAACACTAATCATTAAAGCATTTTTGGCAGATGAAACATTGACAAAAAGTAGCAGAGGTTGAAATGAGAAGAGGAAAGGTAGTATCTGAGTTCTTAGAACTTGGCTTGTTTGCATGTAATGTCTTGGTATGTATTTGAGTGAGGAGTAGCCTAAACAGGTCTGAATTAAATTATTGCTAGAATACCCAGATGTTTATTTTTTTATTTCCTTTGATTCGTGAGCATGTCTCCCAGAGAGTCAGCAAGGAAAGAGGAAAAGCGTCTTGAAAAGAATACTGGAATAGCAGTTAGACAATCACTTCCTATTTCTACCTTCTATTAACAGTAGGACTTGGGCCATGTCACCTTACTTACTTCTCTGAACTTTTTGTTTCTAACCTATGAAATGGTGATAGCAATTCTTACGCTGCCAAATCCACTAACCTCTCTAACTAGATCCCTAAACAAAACGCAACGCAATGTACTGCTGTCAAGTCGGATCCGACTCATAGTGACCCCTCCTTGGGTTTCACTACAGAAGTAGATTGCCCAACCTTCCTTCCAAGAAGTGGCTGGTGGTTTGAACTGCCAGCCTTGTGGTTAGCAGTCAAATGCCTTAGGCACTGTGCCACCAGAGCTCCCTAGAAAGGCTAAAATAACTTGACAAAGAGGCAGATAACTGACATATGGCTAGCATGGGGACAAATTGGTATGACTTTTCTGAAGGAATAATTAGGCAATATGTATCCATACATTTTACTTAACCCAGTAATTTTACTCTAAGGAATTTTCTGTAATTGGAAAATTACAGAAAAAAAATGTATGCATAGATATGTTTATCTCAGGGTTACTTATAAAGGGAAGGTGTTTAAAACAACCTAAATGGTCAAATGTACAGAAATGGGTAAATGTATAAGACACTGTTCAACATAACTATTTGAATATATAATAGTTTCCAATGACACGAAGAAGTGCTGATACTATAATGACAACTGAAAATGCAAAATGCAAAACCATATGCACACTATTATCTCAATTTGGTTTTTAAAAGTACTTGAACAAATGTTTAAAAGGAAACTTGGATGTCTTTGGGTGGTTAGATGATGCTATTTTGTCTCTTCTACTTCCTTTCTACTTCTTTGTTTTTAAAATAATCAGAATATATTATGTTACTCAGTAAAGAAAATAAACTTTTTAAAATAGGCATTTGTCCTGCTCATTCCCTGTCCTCACAGCTGTAGCTCCTTCCAAACAAGTCCATCCACAAGTTTTTATTCAACACTTGCTGTTAGCCTAGCATTGTGCTAGGCCTATGGTAGATACAGTTAGAATATATGTCCAGATCCCACCTTCTGAGAACTTAAAGTGGAGAGCTAAAACAAATGAACATGCAACAGTTGGAACAAAATAATTGCTAAGGTCCTTGTTATAAGACTCCAATATTGTTGTTGAGCACTATTAGGTTCTTTTCAATTCATAGTGACCTGCTTCATAGGGTTTCCAAGGCTATTAATCTTTATGGAAGCAGACTGCCACATCTTTCTCCCGGGGAGCGGCTGATGGGTTCAAACCGGTGATGTTTCAGTTAGCAACTGAGCACTGTGCCACCAGGGCACCCCCAGGGCTTCTGCCAAAGGCAATAGAAGGTGAGAAAATAGGGGGATGAAAAACAGCTACACAACTCCTAAAAGGCTTAAGAGTCTTTCCTAAGCTGCATCTTTCTTCAGTGCTAGTCAGATGGTTCAATTTCAGCCCATGATTTGTCTTCGCAAATAAAATTTTACAATAACAGCCTCACTCATCTGTTTACGTATTGTCTGTGGCTGCTTTTGCATGGCAACAGAGGTGGAGTAGTTGCAGTAGAGACATATTAGTTGCATAAGTAATTGCATAAGAGACTTATTATCTGGCCCTGGTTATAGACTATCAAAATATAAAAATTTTTTTGGTTAAAAAAAAATGCAAACACACAAAGTGCCAGTGGTTCTATAAATTTTTAATAGTTCAGTCCAACTAATAGTCCTTTTTCCAAAGGTGAAAGGATGTATTCACAGACTAGAAAAGCAACTTCAGTCTTAATTTACTTGTGCAAAATATTTTTCTCCCCAGAGAAGAAGATAAACTGAAAACTTGGAAGTCCAAGTTTTTGATACCAAAGGAAAGCAAAGGGAAAAAAGCTGCTGAAGAATCAAAAAGGTAGGAACACAAATACACTTACATTATAGCTTATTTGCTGCAATTTATACTTCTTATTAGCAGTGTAACAGGTATAAACTGACTTAAGGCAAGTCATTAAATTTGATTCTGTTTCTTCATTTGCAAATGAGAATAACAGCACCTACATCATATTAAGGTTGAAAGAATTAAGAGACAAAGAAATGAAAATGTAAAGTTCTATACACCATATAGGAGCTCTGGTAGCATAGTGCCTAAGGCACTTGACTGCTAACCAGAAGGCTGGCAGTTCAAACCCACAAGCCACTCCTCAGAAGGAAGATGGGGCAATCTACTTCCGGAGTGATACTGCCTTGGCAACCCAAGGAGGGGTCGCTATGAGTCAAGTCCGACTTGACAGCACACAACAACAACATACACCATATACATCTATCTTCATCACATCTATCTTTATCATTGTTCCTCAACAATAAAAACCTCCAGTCTTAAATTGGCAGTCAATATCAGGAGACAAAGTATGTTAGCTGCTGTATGGGAGGTGAATTTGCTCTGTAAAATTTCACCCAAATCACAAAAAAATAAAAAATAGAAAAAGAAGAAGAAGAAGAAAGAAAGAAAAACCTGCAGTCTTTTAAGCTATAAGGACTTTCTCCCTATAGCATAAAACTTAAATACAATTCTCCAATTAGAACTGAACTGAAACTTTGAGAAAAGAGAAACTAGCTACCATATAATAAGACTAATTCCCCTACAATATAATTCTAGTTATGACTAAAATTAGTGTCAGAATTAAGAAAAGAATGCCTTGTTCACTCACGGTCTAATCTCCATTCATGTGAGTCAACCTCCCAGTCTGCTGTTGGGGCCCATGATGTGTTTTACTGTCTCAGATGATTACTTAGGGTTCTGTGTGCCATTGTTCTCCTCAATTGCTTGGCTATGTGGCAAAATCTGATATACTTTGTTTGACAAATGCCTTGGGGAAATCCTTGTCTAAATAGTCACTGGGCTGTGACCACTGTATGGTCTGTCTAGTCCGGGAAACCTGTCTAGAAAAGTCCTAGTGGGGCACCCCAAAAGAAATCAGACATCAGTGTTTGCCAAATCCAAGCTCAGAGGATGGCATAGGATGCCCTTCCCTTAAGTTTGTTTTCTTTGGGTTTAGACTTGATGTAATTTATTTTTCCAAAGGTGAAAGGATGTATTCACAGACTAGAAAAGGAACTTTCTACCTTAAACTTCTAGAAGTTGAATTCTTCATACTTTTACATAATTTTACATACTTTTGCAGAGCATAGCAAAACAGAATTCCAAAAGAAAACATCAGTGAAATTTTTGACTGAAAAAAAGCTTTTCAGTATTTTGATGACTACAATTCGTCTTTTCAGAAACAATTTTCTAGTGCTAATTTCTTACAAAAAAAAAAAAAACTTTTATTCTAAATGGAATAAACTTGAGTATGTGGTAAATTTGAAAATGCAGTGTTGAGACTATCACTATCCCTGTAGATTAATGTATCCATTTCTGTATGCTGTTTGCTCCTTGGTAGTTTCTCCCTTATATTATCCTACCAATAGGTAAGAAATACTTTCTATCTTAGTGTCAATAATTTTGCTCTCCTTTTATTAATGAAAGATGATGACAAGTTTTAAGACAAGATTGGAAGGGCACCCCAGGTTTGAAGGCATGGAAAGGACAGCCCACCTAAGACATTCCATGTAGACTTTGTATGTGTAGGGCAAAGGAAAAAGAAAAACCAAACTCACTGCTGTTGAGTCATCTCCAACTCATAGGAACCCCCCCCCTTGGGTTTCCAAGGCAGTATCTCTATGAAAGTAGATTGCACAATCTTCCTTTTGAGGAGTGGCTGGTGGATTTGAACTGCCAGCCTTCTGGTTAGCAGTCAAATGCCTTAGGCACTACACCACCAGAGCTTGGAGCCAGATTATAAAATTCCCTGTGTTCCATGCTAAGGAATTTAGACCTTATCCTATAGACAGTAGAGAGTCATTGAAAGGTTTCAAGCATGAGAAAGACAAGATCAAGTAAATTTTATAAAGATTAATCTAGAGGCTGGTATGGAGATTGATTAGGAGAGACGAGAAAGATGGCATTCCAGGCAAGTGGTGATAGTGTGAAATATGGCAGTAGCTGTAGTCTTAGATGGAAGAAAACAGATGTAGGAGACACTCTGAATAAAACCGACAGGATTTGGTGGTTTCTTTTCCTTCTGTCAATACATTAAACTGCTAACAGGCAGCACCTAACCCATGTGAACAGTTGTTGTTATTGTTTCGTACTGTCGAGTCGGACCTGACTCATAGGGACCCCTCCTTGGGTTTCCGAGGCAGTATCACTATGGAAGTAGATTGCCCCATCTTCCTTCCGAGGAGTGGCTGGTGGGTTTGAACCACCAGCCTTCTGGTTAGCAGTCAGATGCCTTAGGCACTATGCTACCAGAGCTCCCATGTGAACAGTAGGGGGGAGAAAAATGAAACGGTGAATATATGGTTAGCTTCTGCTGTAAAGGTATCCACTTTAATGTGCTGAAATTCTTGAGCATGTTTTGTGGCATTTTCTTTATTTTCTTAACTCTATCCTCCAAAATCACTCAGCAAACAGAACAGTTCTTTGATAAGAGCTACATACATTTGTAATTCTCCAATTTGCTTAGAAAAACTAGAAACCCACAAAATGATAGCCCCTTACCTGCACTTACTGTTTTCTGTTAAATTAATCTGGAGGTGAAGAGGAAGATTTATAAATCTTCTCAAGTTTCTTATTTCTTTTCAGCAATGTAATTAGTCTTCTGAGTCTAAACCATAGACATTTCTGATTTAAATTATCTGACCGATTTTAATTTATTCCATGTTGTTATCTTACAATAAAAAATACATATATTTTTAATTGTAGTAGAAAAGCAACTGGTATTACTTACCTTGTTTTCAATTTATCCTGAAATACAATAATTTGTTGACTTGGAAACTTAGAATTTTAATAAAATACATTTAACCTTACCCACATATTTCTTGCTAGTTCATCTCCTAGAAATTTCTTCAGAATCAAGAAGCAAAATTTTGAAAAGAAAATGGAAAAAGAAGAAAAACTCTTTAGAGAAAGATTTGAGGTATGTTCATATCTGATGGTTAAATAATAATGCAACAACTATTTTTTAATTCCATTTTGAAAGATTCTGTAAGTGTTCTGTGCCTCTGCTTCTGAGATAAAACATGATCTTTGACTAAAAAATTGATTTTTTTGTTTTTCCAGATACATTTCTATTTAACCATAATTTTGTATTTCCTTTCTGCCTAGAAAAATTCCTATGTTGTTCTTTAAGGCTCTATTTAAATATAACCCTAACTTCCCTAGAAAAGTTACTCCCTCAGCACATGTTATATATCTATTATGTATATATCTTGTATGAAAAAACCAAACCAAACTCACTGCCATCGAGTTGATTCAACTCATAGCGACTCCACCTTGGGTTTCCAAGGTGTTATCTCTTCCTTCCAAGGAGTGGCTGGTGGGTTTGAACCACCAGCTTTCTGGTTAGCAGTGAGATGCCTTAGGCACTATGTATACCATAGATCAGTTGTAGTATAGTTTGTGTGTGTATGTGTGTGTGTGTATCCTAAATTCTTGAGTCCCTTTTGAAGGAAAGATCCTGTCTCATTCAAGTTTGCTCCCCAGCTCTCAACATAAAACTGGATACACAGTAGTTTTTGGTGAATGAATGACAAAATGAACAAACAAAAGAATAATTATATGGATAAAGGAAGCAACATCTGAAGTGCCTTGACTTCTTACTCTGTCACAAAAAGTCCATGGAACATCTTTCCATAATTCCAAAGTTGGAATGACCCTCCCTTTTGAGATGCCAGTATTGATTCTTGATAATTGAACAAGAGATGGCAGAAACTATCAAGGATATATCAGAAATGGAAACAGCTCAAGATATGAAACAGTATGACCTACAAAGGGTGAAGGTCCATTTTTTCTTTTCTAAAACTTGTAGGCTTTTTTATTCAGTTAAGAGATAGACTGGTGAACATGGAAAGCTGTCCCATTTAACTTGTCCAGATTCACATTCCACTTCATTCATCCATCCCACCGTGCCATAAATTTTAAAGAAATAACCAAGATTCCCAGAAAGCTTGTCTTCCTACTTCTTAGCAGTAAGTCGATAAATTGATTGCAAAGAAATCAAGGGACAGAATATGAGCAGTTTGCACCTTGCAAAAAATGCAAGGTGAAGAGTAGCAGGAGATGAAACCAGAAAAATGAGTAAGAGTCATGACATGAAGAGCTTTATACGCCAGGTTAAGAAGCCTAACTTTACCCATTTGACAGAGGGAACTGTTTGACTTGCACAACTTTCCTGACTGAAGAAATTGCATTTCCAGAGCAAAGCTCTAGCTTATTAAAAAAAAAAAAAAAAAAAGTGTAACATTATTGTAATTACCTGTTCATCATATGAAACTATGAGCTCCTAGAGGACAAGGATTATCTTATATATCTTCATATCTCCCTTGCAGAGCAAAATAAGACTACCTAACCCTAACAGGAATTCTGGTGGTGTAGTGGTTAAAGTATTTGGCTGCTACTCAAAAGGTCAGAGGTTGAAACCCACCAGCTGCTCTGCAGGAGAAAGATGAGGCAGTCTGCTCCTATAAAGATTTACAGCCTTGGAAACCCTGTAGGGTATTTCTACTCTGTCCTAAAGGGTTATTAAGAGCCAGAATCAACTCAATGGCAGTGACTTGGTTTTCTTTCTTTTTTCCAATACTTTCTAAACATCCAAAAATGTTATTGAACTGAACTAAAATAGAAATATACTCAAATCCCTTGTAATCACTGATAACTCCTACTTAGACAAAAATTGGCCAGGTTACTGTATCTAGAAATTATCTACTGCAAAGCATAATGTTATTTGAATAGTTGAAAGATGATAATATAGCAGTTACTGGTTGAAAAGACCCGATATCCATCTAGTGGTTTTCCCCTGACTGTACTTGTGACAATATCATATGGAAGAAATTCCATTTTCCTTGATGTCTGATTCCATTCTTCCATATTACTTATGGTGAGTTTCCCTGAATATACCATTGGGAAAACTATACCATTTAAATAACTTTTATTGAGCTCAAATCACAAAATATTTTTTGAGTACCTCATTAGTACCAGGCATTGAGGATAAAAAATAAATGAATGACCCTCCATTTATCTAATAAACAGTGGCTGCAACAGTGATCTTAAACATGGCAACAATTGTAAGGATGGTGCAGGACCAAGCAGTTTCATTCTCCTGTACATGGGGTCACTGTGGGTCAGAACTGACTCATCAACAACAATAACGTATAATAAATGCTCTAATAAAAATATATACAAAATGCATGTAAATTATACTTGCTAGTCATAAAAGTTTTCATCCAAAAGGGTAAAAGAAGGGTATTTCAGGCAGCAGAAACAGCACGGGCAGTGGCATGGAAGTATGAATGATGCATGGTGTATTCAAGGATCATCACATGGCTTGATGTTTCTCAATGAAGGGGACAGAGATGGGGGAACAGGGAATGACAGTATGCAAAGGACCTTGAATGCTAAGCTAATAAATGTGGATCTTGTCCTGGAAGCAATAAAGAGTTTTTAGAACTTTATAAATAGGAGAGTGTCCTAATCAGACTTGCATTTTAAGTAATGGATTCAGAGGGAACGATGGCCTGGAAAGGGCAAGACAACCAGTTAGGAAGCTATTATTTTGTAAAGTAAAAGAACAGTCTACTTCTGGATCAGATCCCATTTGATGTGGGGTGATCTTATAATTTATCATCCAAGTTTAGGATACTTCTGAGAGTGAAAAAAGATATTCTTCATAATAAGTAAATAAAGATACTGTACACAGAGACTGTCCTAGGCAAAGACAGATGTTTGGTCACCCTAATTTAATGGAGTAGACAGCGGAAAATATAAGCCAGACATTCTGGAA